CTCCTGAACAACCCCTCCCCCCAAATATACCTGATGATGCAGTCGCGCTCCATCTCCCCGAACCGCAGCCCCCCGTCCCGCGCCCTGCCCTCCACCGGCTGCCGCGTGAGGATCTGCGTGGGCCCCCGCCCCCGGCTGTGAATCTTGAAGTCCACCATGTGCTTGAGGCGCTGGTAGTAGGTCGGGGTGAAGAACACCTGGGAGGTCGGGTGGGGGTGGGGGTGGTTTTCTCAGGGCTGGTGTGTGTGTGCGTGTGAGAGTTGTGAGTGTGTGCATGTGTGTGTGTGCATGTGTGTGTGCATATGTGTGTGTTTTGTGTGTGTGTGTGTGAGTGTGTGTGTGTGCGTGTGAGAGTTGTGAGTGTGTGCATGTGTGTGTGTGCATGTGTGTGTGTGCATGTGTGTGTGCATATGTGTGTGTTTTGTGTGTGTGTGTGTGTGAGTGTGTGTGTGTGCGTGTGTGCGTGTGTGCGTGTGTGCGTGTGTGCGTGTGTGCGTGGGTGTGTGTGTGTGAAGGGTTGGTGGGTTGAGGGCGGGTTGAAAGCAGGGCACCGTGGTGGTGGTGGTGGTGGTGGTGGTGGTGGTCGTGGGAGCCCTGAAGGATGCGGGTCTGGACGGGCTGCTGAGAGGCTTCCAGTCGGAGGGCGCGACAAAAACGGCGGCACGGGGCCGGGGCGCTGTACGCGCGTGCGTGCTTGTGTGCACACGCGCGCGCACGTGTGTTTTTTTGTGTGTGTGTGTGTTCAAGCGCGGGGCAGCGCGTGCGTGTGTGCACGTGTGTGTCGCTGCGGGCCACCCACGTGGTTGTGCAGGGCGCGCCCCGTGTGGCCATTGTACATCACCTCCCACCCGCGCTGCTGGTAGCCGTGGCTGGGGGGGGGGGAGGGGGGGAAGGTGCAGTCGGGAGGGGTGTATGTGTGTGTATGTGTGTGTGTTTGTGTGTATGGGTGTACATGCGCGTGTGCATCTGAGAGTGAACATGTAATGGCGCGCTTCATGCACCACTGGCGGACAAAGGGGGGAACGAGGGGGGGGGGGGCTGCACCAAGAGAGAGCGGCGAACGCGACGCGGCCTGGCGCGAGAGTCCCCACACGCCGCGCTCCCGCGGCCCCGCGCCCCCACGGGAGCGATCAGATGCTCGGCTGCACTGCTGGTTGGCCCTTAACCCTCTGGGTGTCAAGTGTGCAGGTGCTCACATCAACCCCGGATGCCATCCCCTACTTGGCTAGATGGGCCGCGGCAAACCCTAAACCTTAAACCCTGAACCCTAGTCTCACTTGTGCAGTGTTGAGCTGACGTTGTCCACCGTTACGTCGGTGAAGGGCGTGGCGTCACCCTCCTGGCCCACCAGGGACGCCACCTGTCGTTTCGAATTTTGGGGGGCAGGGGAGCAGGCCGTGTGGTAGGATGCGTGTGTGTGTGTGTGTGTGTGTGTGTGTGTGTGTGTTTACAGGTGTGTATACACACGTGTGGGGGTGTGTTTGTCTTGAAATGGTTGCTTTCGAATGCCAGGCAACGTGGGCGGCAAAGGCACTTGCTGTCGAGTCCTTCTGATAAGGCAGCTGGGGGGGAGGCCTGCCGCGCGGCGTTCCCCGCCAGGGGAACGCGGGCCGCGCGGGTGGATGACCTGGCGCGCGCGCGCCTCCTCTTGTTGCTGTCGGGATTTATTCGAGTTTTCGATTTTCTTTCGTGCGGCTGCGCGAAGAAGCAAGCGCCGCACCTTGCTCATGAGCGCCTCCACAAGATGGCCGATGGTCATGCGGCTGGGGGGTGGGGGTGTTATTTGCGTGTTGAGCTGGGGTGGGTGTTCAGGATGGCGTTCAGGGTTTCTTTACATTGCAGCGCCGCCGCCGCCGCCGCCGCGCCGCCACACACACCGCAGCGGCCCCCCCTGAACCCCCAAGGGTGCCCCCGCATGATCGCGCGTGGGGGGCCCGTCACGCCCCGCCCCTGCCCCGACCCCAACCCTTCAGAATATCCCCCAAAGGTGACCGCCCAAAAAGACCTCCCGCGGTCACCCCCAAAGACCGCAGCCACCAACACAGCAGCCCGCAAAAGTCGCCTCGACCAACACCTCCCCCAACTGCCCCCCCTGCCCTCAAATCCCCTCTTGGGGGGGGGGGGCTGTCCCCCTTCCCCTCCCCTAATGACGTCATCATTCCTCCAAGGGGGTGACCCCCCACCCCCCTCCCCCCCACCTGGGGATGGCGTGGGGGTTGACGATCAGGTCCGGCACGATGCCCTCCGCCGTGAAGGGCATGTCCTCTGAAGTGTAGGTGATGCCCACGGTGCCCTTCTGGCCGTGGCGCGACGCAAACTTGTCACCCACCTGGTGTGTGTGTGTATATGTGTGTGTGTGTGTGTGTGTGTGTGTGTGTGTGTGTGTGTGTGTGTGTGTGTGTGTGTGAGGGGATTATTGGGGGGGAGATGGAGGGGGGTAGGGTGGCCGGTTTGGTGGGGTGAAGTCGCATGCACGCGCACATGCATGTATTGAAACGTGCGCTAACAGCGTGTGTCATGGGTGCACGTATGTTGTGTTGACCATGTGCGTTGCGTGGGCCATGAGCTGTGTGCCCGCACGTGTGCACGCATGACGTGTCCTGTGATTGCCCGGCGCCCAAAATCCCTGGCTGCTGCAGCAAAGCGGCCCCCCCCTCCCGGGCAAAGGGTCGTGCTTTGGAACCAGCAAGCGCCGACGCGTCAGCGGGCCGCGCTACGCCCCTGTGCGCGGAGTGTGTTGATGTGACGGCTATGTCGCCTTTTTTCATGGCCATCCTGTGCCCCCTCTCACCTGAGGTATGCATATGGTGCGCACCCTGACCTTCACAAACGCGTTGCCCTGCTCGTTCTGGGACAGCAGGACCTGGGTAGGGGGAGAGAGGAGACCAGGGGTGAGTGAAGGCCCGAGAAGAGGGGTCACCCGGCGCGGTCAGCGGGGCCGTCCAAGGTTGCTGGGGGCGGGGG